ACAGACAGACAGAGAAAGAGAGAAAGGGCGAATTTCCACTAGCAAAAAGGGAGAAAAAACTTAAGCTTATTTTGGTCTCTTGAGCCAAGCAAAACTCTTAAAATGCACTTGATTAAAACTTTATATTTTGGGCTATCGATCAATTAAAAATTGAGCTTAATTGATAACCTTTACAAAAAGTGGGAGAGAGAGAAAGAGAAGGGGCATATATAGAGATGCCAATTCAATTGGGCTTAATGTTCAACTTAATTAATGGATTAGGCTGACGTTGATTTTTGGGGCAAGCGAAATAAAACGAGTTAAAAGCAGCTGCTTAAAAGACTTATCAAATGTGACAGCTCGCAAAAATGAAGCTGCAGGAAGATGAAACTGTTTAAGCAGAAGTTTCGTAATATGCACTGAAAGATAAATAATATATTTACTATTAACATAAACAGGAATTGGGAAAATCATTGGCAAATTCTATAATATCTAATGCGGATTAATTTTGCAAGGGACAAAAGCATTAACGATCGTTTTTAAAAAGAAATCGTAAAATTAACAATATATATATCTATATATATATATATATATATAAATTATATATAGTAGAAAATATATTTATATAATAAATATAGCTGTCTATCAATCGAACAATCAACCAGGAAAACATAATCCTATTTCAATTTGCTCACAGTCGCAACCCTGAACAAATATTTACGCTGAAATAACAAATTACAGTTGAGCCTAATTGACTGCATAATGCTCGCTTACGATCAAAATGTTCCTATTTGCCGGCTGCCAGCCATATTATTTGTAGCTAGAATCTTAGTACTTTAACAGACAGAACAAATCTTAAATATATATATATATATATATATATATATATATATATATATATATATATATATATATATAAAAATATTTATATATATATATATATAATATAATATGCTTTCTTTATTTACTAGGTAAACGAGTATTGGAAATAAAATCTTATCGCATTTGGCAAAACATTTGCAAATACCTAAATATTTGGCTTTGTCCGATTTTAATGACCTGCACATGCACATAAAATTGTGTGGAATACATTTTTTGTGAATTTTATTTTGGACAGATTATTCGTTTTTTAGTTTTGATGTATTTGCTTTTAAGATTAATGCAGCAGTTAAGCCATAATTAGAGTTGAGCGCAAAATTTGGCAAGCTAATTAGCATTAAAAACAAAAGCTGGCAAAAAATAAAAAGCGGATGTCTGAAACCATTTATAAAAACTATATAAAGTCAGTGGAACTATTTGAAATTGAAATCATATAAATAGCTGAAATTTGTTTGGCTTTTAATCTAGAGGCTTGTAAAAGTTATGACAAGCAGCAAGAAACTTTATTAAGTATCTTTTATCACTCTTGATGCTTGGATTTAGTGTGGATTATTTTATATTTTATTTTTTGGTTTATCTCGTGCCTGGCAGACAAACAGGCTTTGGCCCGCAGCATAGCTCTAGACTTGCTCACGTTTGGCTTCTATTTGCACTTTTCTACTATCTGTACAAACACAGCGACAGAGATAGATAGAGAGAGAGGGAGAGAGAGCGAGTTGGAGGTAGCTTGTATCTCATAGTTTGCTCTAATTTCGAGTTGCTTAAATATTTAGTAACATACTCATCGCCTTACAGAACACACAGAGATACAGCTAGAGATATGATTAGATATGACTTCCTGTTTGCTTTGAAGCATTGTTTCGAGCATGTAACGTGTTAATGTTAATGGGCCGTGTTTACGAATGGGCCAAAACCCCGAAGAGCCGAGCAGCTAGAGCTATTTCCAGCTATTTCCATATGTATCTTTCGCTCTGCTTATGTTTATACTATGCTGCTACAGCTCAATTAGCAGTCGCATAGTGCGCGCAATTAAAATGAAATTGAATTTTATGTGTATTGCGCCCAAGTGCGTGCCCACGTTTACATACCAAGCAGACACAGATACACAGATACATAAACATAGCTTCAGATACATATTGTGTGCGCACTCGTAAATACCTGAAGAAAAAAACAACAACATTTATCGTATGCATGACACAGACATCAGATTAGCATCACAAACAGCACATAAACGTAAAAGTAACACACACAAACTGTTTGAGGACGACGGGGCATGAATAAAAGGCGCAGGGCGTGGCAGAAGTTGAACTATGTAAACAGTAAATAGACGACAGACCGAGACACAGCCAGAGTCAGAGTCAGAGTCGGAGTCAGAGTCCGAGTCAAATTCATTGGCAGAGCTAAAGAGCCAAATGAAGTTCGGCATACACTTAAGCGAGTCATTAAGAGCAACGACCACAGGAATAGATACAGATACACGGATACTGAGATACATAAATACATCGATATACAGTGACACTACACGTTCCAGAGGATTTGCTTTTGATTTGCAGATACATAGAGACTTTGCTTTCCTTATAGATACTACGTATGTATACAGATGCATAGATACATAGCTCAGATACATAGATACTACAGTCAAATACATAGATTCAGATACTCTATGAGACATAGATACATTTCAATAGTCAGACACAAGTACTCAGATACATAGATGCTATATACAGACTCTACAGATATTATGCTCAGTTAGAGATACATTTTGCGAGCCAAATGCTTAGCAGATGCGCGGATACTTAGCTCCATAGCTACTTATGTCTCAAATTAAGATTCCCGAAATGCCAAAACGCTAATAACAACTAAAACAAAGTCAAAGTCTGTGAAGTGAGCTCCATTGAGCAGGCGCTCATGTGGATAAATCTGTTGAAAAAGTCAGCCGGCAGTTGGCAGTTGACGGCGATGCGGGCGATGTATCTTACAGATACTTCGTTTTCTTTTTATTTTTACTTGTGTTTATTTGTTAACTACCTGCGTGTGAGAAAAACTGTTCGCCAGACAGGTAACAGCAACGCAACGCACCGCACAAAGAACTGCAACATCATGCCAAGCACACACTCAGTTACAAATACATGGAAAAGTATCTGAGTATCTATGCTTTGTAATTGTGCGTAAACGTGTAAATACCAAGTCAAGGTCGGTTAATCAATAATAATTATTTTTCACTCAATTACGCGCCGCACTGCGTGAGCTGCTATAGTTCACATTCCTGAGATACAACACACATATATGCCATATAGCCATAGATACATTATGCTTGAGATACATATTGCCTTAGATAGCTATACATAGTTACATTATGCTCGAGGTACAAATTTGGTTTTTTCGTTGTTTTCTCGTCTCTCACGTCACTTCGTTGTTATCTTTTTGTTTGGCTTAGCGCCGAGACAGATTCATGTGTGAAATATGCATAAACAAAATATGCCAACGCGATTTTCGAGTATCTCATGGATGCTGATTTGTGTACAATATGATTTTTCATGCGCCGCAGCCTTCACACAGTTAGATGCGTGCCACTTGATATGCCCAGAAAACCAGAATAATAAATGACGACGCTGCCGACACATCAAGATACCAGATACAGCTACGGCTACAGCTACAGCTACAGCTACAGCTACATCTACAGCACCTAAAACTATAGATACAGATGCGAAATATTATAAATGAAGCTGCAGCGTGGGTTGCTCGAAGCGGCGAGGTGCACGGGGCAAAGGAAACCCATCCCATCCAGGCAAAGCAAAAGTTTTCGAGACATTGCTCAATACGCTTCTAATTGCGGACGCCTGGCACTTGCTCATAGTTTTCTTTTGCCCTCGGCTGACTGCTCGAGTGACAGACGGACGGACAGATAGACAGACGGGGCTGCCCACTCGAGAGTCGAAGTCAGCTCAATGAATTTGCATATAGTTACAGATGCGCCTTCATTAAGTCAGTCAGCCAGCGAGAGAGACAGAGAAAAGTGAGCGAGAGCGAGAGCGAGGGGGAGGGGGAGCTAACGTTAAGTAGTAGCTAAACTTTGACTGCAAGTGATTTACGAGACTTAAGCAGGCAGGCAGCCAGACAGATTCTGATGGGTTGCACAATTACAGGGTATATTAAAAGGCTGATTAAAGATGAGACGAGTTGAGTGATTTATATAGACATATATTATATTAATGCTTAATGTTATTGCAGCTTAACTTAGAATTAAGTCTATTATTTTGAAAGAAGCCGCGATTAAGTTTGCTAGGAGAGCTAAGATATAGAAAGATTTACATCTTTACAACAGTTCTTTACAGTTCTGCCAATAATTTTTAATAATAATAATTATAGCTAATAAAACAAGCTTAAAGAAAACTTATGCTTCCTTAAAAAAATATATAAAACTGCAACTGCAGCTGCCGATTTATCTGTTAGATGATTTGCATTTCGAGATATATTGAGAGAACTCTTCTTAAATGTATCTTTTGAGATATGTCTGATTTGCTTTCCTAAATTACAACTTTAAAGATATTTAAGCAGTTTCTAGTTTTGGCCGGCGTAATTTGCCTGAAGTTTGTTCAGTTAATACTAAAATATTTTTATTATATATTTTGGAATTTGAATCTGAAGTTGAATTTCAACAGTTTCTTTTTTCATCTGCTTATTTATCTCATGAATGTTGTTTATATAAGAATATTTATAGACTTAAATAAAAGAAATATTTTCTACACGCAATTAAATTTCATGTTCTTCCTGATTTAGCTGCTCGTTTACGAGTGTCTTGTGGATGTAGCTAAAAGTATATTATATTTAGACTTCAATTTAAGAATTGATTTGCGCAATTTAACTTTATTTATATCTGTGAGTAAATATCTTTGGCTGTTTATATCTCATATAAAACTAAGATTAGCTTATATTTAGAATTCTTCTTAAGAATTTTTTGATTCAGTTTCAAATGTATCTTTAATAAAGTATCTGTAGATACTTTCCACAACAATCAAGTTAAAGCTTTTAATGATATTCGAAAGAGTATCTGCAGCGTGTGATTCGGTTTTTGTGTTTTAGTTGAACATTTCAAAACATGTGCGTAGCGTGTGGCTGAATGGATGAGTGGCTGCACCTACCTTTTTCATTAAAAACTCCACTCGACCTGATGTCGATCGATTCGAAGTAACCCTTGACTGATTCGCACTGCTGCTGCGCTAAATCCTTGGCGCGCGAGTCCCGCTGCAGGCGACGCCGATGATGCGTTGCAGCGCTATGTTGATGTTGATGCGGCTGATGCTGATGCTGGTGGTGCACCAGCGAGTTGTCGCCGTCAGTGGCGACACCAGCTGCCAAATGCTTGGCCACAGCCAGGCTGAGGCACAGGCAGAGGCAAAGGCAGAGGCTGAGCTGCAGCGGCTGGTTGAAAGGATTGCCTGACATGTTTGTTGTTGTTTTTAAATTCTTTACGGTCTTAGGCGAGCAAATGCAAACTGGACACCTGAGTGTGGCACCTGACTGGGCACGAGTGTGTGTGTGTATGTGTGCGTCTGTGTGTGGTTGGCTTGTGTGTGTCTACGATTTTAGGCAGCTCTGCTGCATGTTGCACCAAACAGCTGTGCGAACACCAATACACTCACACACACAACGAAGAGCGACGACAAAGAGCGACAGAACGGCAGAGCTACACAGCGCAAGAGAGCGGCACTTTTCGTATTTTACTTTTTTTGTTTTGCACTTGCCGGTTAGGCCGAAACAAAACACGCACACAAACAAAACACACGCAGAGAGGGCTGTCTGCTGTTTCCTCAACGTCTCGCCTGTTGTTCTTCTTGTTGTTGTTGTTGTTGTAATAACAGTTGCGAATATTGTTGTTGTTGCTGTTGCGTTTTGTTTTAAACTAAAATACACGCACGTCACTTCTTTTCTCTCTCTCTCTTTCTCTTTGTTATTGCTTTTTACTTTGCCAAGATTTATGCGTGTTGTTAAAGATTTTTTGTGAATTGCGCCTACAAATGCTTCATGACATAACCGTAATTACAACAATCTACATACACACATATACATAGATTCCGCTTATCATCAATAGCAACAGTTTAAAGTTAAAGATAATGCACAACTTGGCTATAGAATTCGATTTTTATTTATTTCAAATTTTTTGATTGCATTTTCTTGGGGCTGCTATTGATTTGCATTTATTTAAAATGCTTTGCATTTGTCGCTTTGAGCGATTTGAACGTTTCAATTCCACTCGCGATTGGCGGCTCTCGGCCAAGTATTTAAAATACGTTAAGACGTGAATTCGATTTGGGATTTCGTTACAACGGACGCTGTTGCGCAGCGACACATTTGCACACGGCGACGTTTCGTTCACAACTAACTGTTTCTTTCACAATGCACAGACACCATTTAAGGCACGCACACATAGATAGCGCAGGCACACGCATGCGAGCGCTCTCTTGCGCTAGCGAGGTCTCTTTTTCGTTCGTCTCTCTTTGCATTTGGCGGGCAGCAGCATCTGATCCAGTTATTTGCCACTGATCTGACTGCTTATATATTAAATATTTATTTAATTAATAATTACATATTTATCATAGACAAATATTTAACAACTAAGATTGTTGCACTGTTGATAATAAATAAAATTGTTATTGTTTTCGCTTTTGATTTGTGGATGCTTGCGACAAAAATTCAAAAGGTTTTGCTGCCTTGTTTCAGACTGTAAAACTCAAAATGGCACTGTTGTGTGCTCTTAGCGAAAAGAGCGTGAGAGCGCGTTCTGCTAATCTAAAGACACGGCACTGTTAACGGAACAGTGGTGCGACGCAGCGGCAGAATTGAGTGAAAATAAAATAGTTTTAGAATAGAATTTATTACTAAAAATATTAAAAAAAAAATATACCACAATTTTGCAAACTAAAACTATATTAACTATATTAGTAATATAATAAATATATTATCTTTATTTTCTTGGGTTAAAAACCTGAATGGTTAAACTTTAATAAAATTTTACGCATATATTAGCCCATTTGTATGACACTTTTATGTAGCTGATTAGCATAGAAATAAAGAAGGCAAATTGAGCTTTGATCGGCTACCAAATCAATCTATGAAACTTTTTTTATACATCTAAAATATTTGCTTTCATCGATGCCGCAATAAATTTGCATGCACTCAAATCGAAAATCAATCTAAATTGACGTTTGATTGAATTCAAATATAAAAAAATTAATAGATTTAACGATGAGCTCTTTCGGCTGTTATCTCCATATAAGATCTAAGCAGGTGTAGTTCGATTTGACACCTTTGAAGCGTGTTGAAATAATACAAATAAATTAGCCTTTGGCAACTTCCCTTATGCGTATCCTTAGCTTAAGCTTGCTTTAATTGTTCAAGAGTTTCGCTACTTCTCTTAATTGTGAGCATAAACTGTTATTCTTAGCTCGACTTAACGGCTTAAGCCTGCTTAGATGTTCGATAATTTCTCTTAAGAGTGAGCGTGGCTCAACTTGTGAGCCTAAGCCTGTTTAACTGTACAATCAATTTTTGTTTTAAGAGCCTGTCATTCGTCAATTGCTCTTAAATACCTGAACTATTGCCCTTAGCGTGCACAGCACGCGCGCACGAAGAGATTTTTCTTTTGTTTAGGAACAACAATTCAAGATTTTTTTGGCAAGACTTTCACTCAGGCCAAACTATTTGGCCTGTTAGTCAGCACTTTTTGGTCCCGATCTATTTCTTCATTAACAAGAAATCCGAAAAACAAAGAAAACTTCATGGTGGTCAAAAATTTACCTCCAGCTGTTAAGCAAACGCCTCCATTGGCCTTGTTAGGCAAAGCCAAAGGTACGCTAAGAAATTTAGATATTTTCAACTCAAAGTGGCGCTACATATATCTATATTCAAAATAATCCTGCCATGAGTCATGCGAAGCGGAAACAGAGAACGTTTCACGACTCAAAACTGAAAACAAAAACAAGATTGAAAAGGTGAAGTCGAAAATTAAACACCAGCACATCGTTTAGATAAAGTTATAAATTATAATGTACGAATGATCAGGAAGAGAGTAACAGAGAGAGAGGGAGACGCAGAGAAAGAGAGAGTCAAAGTCTGAGTCAGTGTTGTCTTTTGCGGTTTTTTTTCCGCTAGTTTTTTTGGCTTAATTAATTTGGTTAGCTTTAAGCTTTATTACCGTATTTAAATGCATTCGAACTCTGTGACACATTAAAATATTAAATTGTTGTTACAATTAAATACTTCTATCTGTTTTTCTATTTTTTGCAGAATATATTTTTTTATATATCTTAATATATGGAATTTTAATAAGATCATAAATATCAAAGATATAAACTAAAATCAATCTAATATAATTTTTTTTTTCATTTTTAATATTTATTTTTATATAAAATACATGTTTTTTATTATTTAAAAACTTAAATTTTCTATGAATGGAAAGCGAAAAGTTTCTTAAAATAAATTATATCGCTAGGTTTTTAATTTATTTTTTTTTTAGATTTTCTAAATATAATATTTAATTTAAACATTATTGTTATTACATTTACAGTTTTTAAATTTTTGAAATATTTTTGTTTAAGTAAAACTTAAACTTCAATTTGTTATATTTTTTATGTTTAACACATCATTTTCAGCTTTCACAGCTAGCTATTTTCCAACTGCTTTTACTTTCTAGCTTTTTTCTTTTGCTTGAAAGGACAACACTGTTCACGGCTGAAAACCCTTTGAGTGAACAGTTTTGAAATTTCAGGTTCAACCCACACACCAAAGCAAAAAGGTACAACAGGTAAAGATAAACTTTGTGCATGTGTGTGTGTGAGTGTGCGTGTGGAGAGCTGAAATTAAACGAATTTAGGCAAACGGCATCTATAAATTATGTTGCCTGGCGAAAAAAAATGTTGATCTCTAAGAGGCCAAGCCGAAAGTTAGGCAAACAGAATTTTGTTGTTGTTGTCGTTTGTTCTTCTTCTTATCTTTGTTTGTGGGGTGAAGGGGTCAAGAAAGGGGAGCAACTCAAATTTCGTTTAAACGCTTGATTTAGTGCAGCAAATATGGCCAATGCCGAACGCATTCCAGCGTTTTACACTTGAATTGAACAGCGAGAGGGAGGGAGAGAGAAGTAGAGAGAGGGAGAGAGAGAGAAAGGGAGCTGAGAGCGGAACCGAGTGGTTGCTTTTATCCTGCGGGACTGCAGCCGAAAAAAACACGTTGGTGGCATTTTCTGTGTTTGTGAGCCGCCGACTGGTTCAACAGGTTCCAGGCCTAAGACTAACAGAGAGACAGAGAGAGAGAGAGCGCGAGATTCTTGAGCAGACCCTGGCCCTGACTCTGACTCTGACTTGGACTCTGTCTCTGCCTCAGCCGCTGCCTCTGGCTGTGGCAACGTTTGTGGCATGCAGCATTACTCGTTTCTCGCTCGTTTTGCACATTTTTGAATTTTATTTTAATTTCTTTTTATTATAAGTATTTTAGTTTTGCCCGTACCCTAGAACCGGGCAACGTTTTCTTCTCTTTTTCTTTTTCTTCTTTTTTTTCGTTTTGTTGATTTTTCATTCACCAAAAACTGGTTCGACGTTTTGCAAGTTCTTTTTAGAGCTGTTGGGGCTGCTGGAGCTGTGGCTCAAGACATTGTTTGGTCTCAAGGAAGTTCTTGTTTGCCCGCTGGAATGTGTGAAGTCATCGAGCAACACACACACACCGAGAGAGGGGTATATACACACTCTTGCATTTGAATGCCAGCGTTGAGCTCTTACATTTTTAAAGACCTGGGCGGCACTTGCAGTCGCGACTGAGGCAGTGGCAGCGTTGGCTTTGCCTTCGAATTCCTTCTGCCACACTTTGAGGGCATCTCGCTTTTCCAGCGAAAACTGAAAAATCAGTCAAACAGACAACAGACAGCAGACAGACAGCACCAACATGGTAGCAATCAATCTTAGAGCGAGAGACTAAGTTTGCCTTTTGTTTATTTGCTATAAACTTTTTCACTTTTCAGATAGAGTTTTCAAAATTGGTATAAATATTTATTGAACAATTGTTGAATTTCGAAAAAAATATTAGCTAATTTTGACCAAGTCTTTAATTACAGCCCATATAAAACATTGTAAGAATCAATGTTAGAAAATCTAGTATTGAAAATTAGTTAGAGTATTAAAATTTTGCATATGTATTGCTAAAGATATGTATGAATTTCAAATAAATTTGCTAACACGCCTTCACCCACCGCCCACATAAAATATCGCAAAAGTCTATGTTAATGAGCTTACAGTGGCTCCGACTGCCTTTATTTTGAGCATAAATATTTTTTAATTAAAATATAGAGTATTGAAAGTTTAGATATGTATTTGTCAAGACATTTCTAAATTTCGAATAAATTGTTTACCTATTTGGACCACGCCCATGGAAGCTTCTTTAACAACCTATGTTAGAGACGTTATAAAGATTCCTATTGCCTTTGTTTGTGCATAAACTTTTATAAAAAATAGTTAGAGTATTGCTATTCCACATATGTATTTGTTAAGGTATTTATGAATTTCGAAAAAATTTGTAACTTGTTTTGGCCACAGCTTCAAGCAACGCCCATGTAATTCATTGTAACAATCAATGCTACAGAGCGGCTACACTGGGAGAAACGTGTGTGTGTGTGCCAATTACAAAGCAACTGCTGCAACGTGTAATTGTAATTCTATTTCATTGCAGGATATTGGATCTTTACGCTTGATTTGGCACATTGTGCCAGCAGTCAGTCAGTCAGGCAGTCAGTCGGTTGCCCACCTGCCCGTCTGCTCATCTGCCCACCTGCCTGCCCGCCCAGCCATGAAGCGCTGCATGGCCAAGGGCATATCAAAAGTGGTACATCGTCTCGCTGATGCCGCTTCT